CTCTTTAAAAATCTCACTTTTACAACCTCCTTTAAAAAATATTCCTTCCTTACAATTTTAACAACCACCGCCTACATTTTCTTCAATTAACAATAACATTCTATAAAACTTCTCTCGCTTCGGCATTTCTGCATGTAATTTACCCTGAACCGGCAACCTATCCCAAAATTACAACACCCCTTATAAACCTCTTTTATACTTTTTACTTCAAAACTTTTCTTTTATTTATGCTATTTCCAAAATCTATTTCTATTAGTTTTATTGCAACCGAACGTGTCTTTGTTACAGGCCGACAGTGCCCTTGCCTCAAGTTTTTTTATTATTATTATTATTTTCAAAAGTCAAGTTCAAAAAACTGCACAAACCCCTCTACAAGAACACGTTTGGTCAACCCCCAGAAAGTGGTGGGAATTTAGAAATATAAGATAGTATCTAGACAGAAAGGGAAATAGAAGAAGAAATAAAGTAACAAACAGAAAAATTTATAAGATTTAGAACATTTTTGTAATTGAAAAATACAACATATAAAAGTGCAAACAGTACCTTATTTTAAGTTAAGTTAAGTAGCTTATAATCCAAGATCCTAACAGTTGACTGAAAGTTAATTACTTATTATTCTTTGTTTGATGAGATGGGCAGAGTTATGGAAGTAATAGGTATGTGAGTAGTGACTTTTATTCGCGATTTATTATCATTATCATAAGATCGTCAGTCCCAAGACTGGTTGGGCACCCACCTTAACTTTTTCCTATCCTTAACTAATCTTCGCATTCCGTAAAATTATGGCATCCCACATCCTCAACTATTTGCGAACAGTAATCTAGGTCTACCTCTACTCCTTTTAACTCCTGTATCTGTCTCTAATATGTTTCTAACTAGACCCTTTTGCCTGAGAATGTGTCCTACCAGCCTATCTCGCCTATTTCTTATTGACTTCCATGGAGTCCTCTGTTCTCCTATTCTTTCTAACACCTCTTCACTTCTAACCTTCTCTATCTACGGTATCCTCGTCATTTGCCGGTAACACCACATTTCAAGCGCTTCTAACCTTTTCTTTTCAGCCGCACCCGTACAGCGCCGCGCTCTAAACATACACCTTTAACAACCTTTTTCAAATTTCTAAATTACCCGTTCGCGAGCACAGAAGTGGACTTCTTTTTAGTGAAGGAAACTCGACCCTGCGCTATACTCTGCTTTATATTTCTACTACTTCTTCCGTCCTAACTGATCCGATACCTAAAATCGGCCACTTCTTTTAATTTTTCGTCCCCTATCTTATATATATATATCTTATATANAGTTGAAGTTACTTAATATAAAAGTTTGAAATTTCTGGCAGCTTTTTTTCTGTTAATAAAAATAAATTTAATCTGTTCGGTTAACGAATCTCCATAAAATGACGTGTAAAATTACAATTTTTTAAAATTTCAATAATTTTATAACGGTTTAGTGAGCCGATTTGTAATTTTTACAGGAGTTCTAGAATTGAATGAGGAATGTTCTTCCAAATTTTTATTTGTCTCGTAGCATTTTGACATATCTCCCAAACGTTCTTAATATGAACACACAAAGTTTCAGCAAAAATGGGTTATGAACCGGGGACTATAAATCTAATAAGAAATATGCGAATAAGTTCGTTGAAATAATATTTAATAGCTAATTTAATAATTTAATTTTCATTGATTTATCAAGTCTGAAATTAGGAATCACAACTTATAATTTTTAAAACTTTTCATTATATTAGGGTCCGACTTGGCATGGCTGTTCAGGTGTTCATACACACATGACTAATACCCGCATAACCGACATAGAAATCGTAGAACGGCGTTATCCTGTTTTCGTCAAACGATTCATGCTTAGGAGTGGATCTGGTGGTAAAGGAAAGTATCGGGGCGGTGAAGGAGTAATTCGGGAACTACTTTATAGGGCTCCAGTCACACTCTCCGTTCTTACCGAGAGACGAGTCACTGAACCTTTTGGATTAAAAGGTACTAAAGCATTTATATAATATAGATCCGTTTCTAAAAAGTTTAATTAATATTAGAACTGATTTTATTAAAAATATCTATTGTTTTATTGTGTTATACACGTCGTAAAATTATTTTATGTTACCGGAAATCTATGAAATCTAGGAATTGTATATAATTTTTAGGAAATGTTTATAATTCCGAGGCTATTAAAGAAATGTCTAAAATACAGTTTCATAGATTTTTAATACACACATATCCTGGGAAATGTATACATTTCCTAGGAATTGTATGAAATTCCGTTATTTTACTAGGAAATGTATAGAACTAATGCTTTCTGTGAATAAAATGAATACTATCCCCTCATTACGCTATCCTCGCGTATCCATTGTCATCTTGAATGTCATAAATTTCCGATTGCTATTTAGGAAATGTATAGATTTCCTAGGAAATATGTCCAATATAATTTATTTCACGCATTTCCGGGCGAATTTAGGAATTACATACATTTCCTAGGAATTGTTTACAATGACGAATTACATACATCTCCGTTAAGATATATAATGGTGACGTGTTGACAACCGACATAGGGATATCAGGTATATTATACGCAAAGCATCAAAGGGCGGCATCATCTTTTCAAAAATACAACGCGGTATAGGAAAATTCGTACAAATACCTTCAGTCATCTCTTCATAAAGCAATGCAAATAATGCAATGTAAAGCCTTTGAGGGTGTAATGTTTTGTTCAAGAGGTTTTGAGAGTGGAGTTATTTTAGGACCGCTTTCAAAGAATCAGGAGATATTTTTAGGTAGACGATGTTAAAAAATATATTCTATACGTTCACAAAATTAATAATTTTTGCTCGTGCTTTCGAAAAGAAATATGCCGACAACTAAATTTGAAGTTGGAAATGGTGAACGTATGGAATATATTTCTTCAATAACGTTTAACTGAAGACCATCTTAAAATAAACGAACTCTTAAAACCTTTTAAACAAAGCGGAATACTTTAAATTGCACCTCATCATCATCATAAGGTCGTCAGTCCTAAGACTGGTTGGATATGCACCTCCACTCTTTCCTATCCTGAACTAATCTTCGCATTTCCCTAAAACTATAAC